TTTGCTGTGACGTAAGGCAGCACTTACCCCTCTGAGGCACCACCCAGGGTTCTCAAGGGGCTGCACCCCTGCACCCGCCACCAGCAATGCGCCATCATCCCGCTCCCGCCACATTCCCACCGCCCGAGGCGCTTCTGACTCGCGTTTCTCTCATGAATGACGTTGAGCATCTTTTCACGTGCCGACTAGCCGCCTGGACATCTTCTCTGGAGCCACGTCTGTCCGAATTCATCTCCTAATTGGTTTGTCTTTTTGTTGTTCAATTGCTGGAGCCCCCTTATGTGTTCTGGATACCAGAATCTTACCGGAAACAGGATTTGCAAATGCTTTCTCCCATTCTGTGGGTTAGCTTCTCACTCTCTCTACGGTGTCCTTTGAGGCACAAAAGGTTTTAACTTTGATAAATTCCCATGTATTTTTCTTTTCTGCTTGTGCTTCAGGTATCAGATCTGAGAAACCAAAGCCATGGAGCTCTACACCTATTTTCTTGTAAGGATTGTATAGTTTCGGCGCTCAAATTTAGGTTTTGACCCATTTTGAGTAAATTCTGCATGAAAGTAAATCTTCACTCTTAAAACTGGATCTTCAGCAGTCCCGACACCGTTTGTTGCAGAGACATTCTTTCCCGTTGGAGGTTTGCAACATCACAGTTTGGGGGCTTGTTTGGGGGCCTAAAACATGGTCTATCCTGGGGAATACTCCCGTGGGGCTGACAGGATGTGGGGGGCTGCCCTGGGGGGATTTGCAGGTCCTACACATCCTGCGCCCTTGTACCGAGGATGGGGGGGGGGTGCTGACATCTCCAGCTATTGTTACACAAGCATCTAGGTCGCCCTGTAATTCTGTCAGGTGTTGGCTGCACATACTCTGGGGTTCTGCCCCCAGTGTGGACACGTCTACCCCTGTCCCTACACTCGGACTCTTGTCAATGCGTCATCACCTCCTTGGTCTCTCTTAACAGTGTCTGCCTTAGTGTGTTTTGTCTGCTCCGACCACAGCCCTCCCAGCCCCCTTCGGGCCACCGTTCCCTGAGGGGTTCCTGTCTTCGTTGCTGCACTTTTCAGCCTGTCGCTGTCCTTGGGTCTAAGGAGTCTCCACAGACAGCACACCGCCAGGCACATCTCAAATCCGTTCTCTCAACTGCTGCCTTTCAAGTGGGAGAGGGGGGTGCACTTACGTGCAAAGTGGTCACGGACAGAGCCCTCTGTGCGTGCGGGCTCCCAGCGCCTCGTTTCTGCCTTCGGTGCTCGCTTTTTCTGCTAGGTTATCTTGAGCCTCTTCTGAATTTTTAGCAATTGTTTTCTTAATGGCGACCGTGTGCCTCACGGTGAGCGTCTCACACAAGCATCTAGTCTGAACCAGCTTAGCTGCCACGGCGCGCGAACGCGCCCCTCTTCCACCCCCTTCCTCTC